TTTCCCTAAGCCACTGGCTCTGCTCTCTCTTCACTGCAGGCGTCCACTCCAACTTCTCAACCACTATCCCGCCCACCTCCTGGCAGGCGGATCTCCCCCCCCACCATCCCTCCTCTGCATGCTCAGACGGGACGCTGAAGCTCAGCACGGCCGCCTCCACGGAAGGTACGGGGTGCGGAGGGAGGACTGTAAGGGCTCATGTCTGCCCCGGAGGCTGCCTCAGCCGTGGCCCCTGGTGGCCCAGCCAGCAGGCATTTAGGTGCCGGTGATGTGAACACTCGACATGTACAGTCTGTCCCTTTTCTCCTTCTAGATTCTTAGGCTTGAACAGTCTTTCTTGAGACGGTCCATTTTCCCACAGTTCCTTTCTTGCGTTAACCAGTCAATCCTGACAAGCCGAACCCTTAAGAGGCTGTACCTCTTGCCCAGACTCAGCAACGCTGGCTCCTCTCTGACCTGGAAAAACCCAAACCCACCTAGAACCGCTTCTTAGATATCAGCACTACCAAAGACAGGTGTCCACAGGCCCGAATTGGGAGGAACTGCCACATTTATGTGTTAGTTTTCTACTCTGTCTTGAAAGGCAGTTATCTGTTACTTTAAGTAATAATTTCTGTCATATTTTGGCACCCCAAAATTGTGCTAAAAGCCTAGATCCCTGATATAAAACTCTAGGGCATGAAATTCAAGCACATTTACGTAAAATCCAACACATTTTTCCTACTACACTAATATTTTTATCATTAGCTAGCTGGCTACATTTACTGAATGCTTAATGCATGCAAAACAGCATGCTAAGTGCTTTCACATGTGCTGTGTGGTTTCAACTTCATGCAACCCTGTGAAACAGGGTATTCACAGAGGAGCTTGCCTGAGGTCGCTGCTGCTCTGTGGGGAGCCACATTCCAGTCTCAGATCCACCTGAGCCCAGCTCTGCGCTTTTGCCCCTCGGGTGCATTGCCACCAGTGGTCAGAGCTCCTTCCTTGGCATAACTTCATGATTAGCCTTAAGAGCCAAAGTGAAAATGGAACGCAGTAAGCAGATGCAATAGTTGCTCTCCTGTGGTGAAGGTTCTAGAACAAGGGGAGCAGATAGGTTGGTTGCTTTACCTGTGGTGAAAGTCTGGAACACGATGTCCTCACCCATGGTTTGACGCAGCCACCTGACCACCTGGGGCATCTCTGCTGAAATGGTTGGATCCGGAGGCTTCGAGACTAGGGCTCAGAGTGGCCGTAGTTGGGCCAAATGTCCCGATGAAAGATCTTCCCTTTGTAAGCGGGGAGAGGACAGAATGATACCTGGTCTTTCTGTCTCTTTCTCAGCAGATGTAAAGATTGTGATAAAAACCGAAGTCCAGGAAGAGGAGGTAGTGGCCACACCAGTGCATCCTACTGACCTAGAAGCCCACGCGACCCTGTTCGGACCAGGCCAAGCCACAAGGTTCTTCCCTAGTCCTGTCCAGGAAGGAGCCTGGGAGAGCCAGGGCAGCTCCTTCCCCAGCCAGGACCCCGTGCTGGGGCTGAGAGAGCCCGCCCGGCCCGAGCGCGAGCTGGGTGAGCCCAGCCCCGCGGTGACCCAGGACGAGACCCCTCCAGGGGACTGGCTCTTCGGGGGGGTCCGGTGGGGCTGGAATTTCAGGTGTAAGCCTCCCGCGGGCCTGAACCCGAGGACCGGGCCTGAGGGTCTGGCCTACTCCTCGCCCGACAACGGAGAGGCCGTGCTGGACCCCGGCCAGGTCCCGAGACCCTTCAGCGACCCCTGCAAGTACCCCGGCCGGACCAAAGGCTTCGGCCACAAGCCGGGCCTGAAGAAACACCCGGCGGCCCCCCCGGGGGGGCGGCCGTTCACGTGCGCCGCGTGCGGGAAGAGCTTCCAGCTGCAGGTCAGCCTGAGCGCGCACCAGCGCAGCTGCGGGGGGCTGCCCGACGGGGCGCCGGGGGCGGCGGGCGGCGCGCGGGACGGCAGCGGCCTTCGGTGCGGTGAGTGTGGCCGCTGCTTCACGCGGCCGGCGCACCTCATCCGGCACCGCATGCTGCACACGGGCGAGCGGCCCTTCCCCTGCACCGAGTGCGAGAAGCGCTTCACCGAGCGCTCCAAGCTCATCGACCACTACCGCACGCACACGGGCGTGCGGCCCTTCACCTGCACCGTGTGCGGCAAGAGCTTCATCCGCAAGGACCACCTCCGCAAGCACCAGCGCAACCACGCGGCGGGCGCCAAGCCGGCCCGGGGCCAGCCCCTGCCGCCGCTGCCTGCCGTGCCCCCCGACCCCTTCAAGAGCCCCGCCTCCAAAGGACCCTTGGCCTCCACGGACCTCGTGACCGACTGGACTTGTGGCCTGAGTGTCCTGGGACCCACCGACGGCGGGGACCTGTGAGGCCCCCGCGGGCGACCCCCGCAGGCCCAAGTGTAAAGGAGGCGCTTCTCCAGACAGCAGGGTGGTGCGAAAAGCTTCGAGGCGGAACGGAGCCTGGGGGAGAACCAGATTCCCAGTTGCTG